AGTCTTGTCGGAGACGTGACTGTCTGCCTGGGGTGGGGGCGGGGCTTGGAGAAAGATGGAGCAAAGGACCTTTTTGGGATCAGAGCCCCACGTCAGGCACTCTCTCATGGAAACGTAAGAATGACTTGTTTCCACATAAAAACACTCCCTTAAACCGCATGGCAATGCCCAGCCAACTTACGCTCTAGAAGAAAGCTACAGCCAGAACCTCCTGTTGGCTACCTCTCGGTTTCAGTTGTCACCAGCCAGCTCACCGGGGCCGTCCCACCAGAGTCGCAGCCTTGCCCACGTCCCTTCCTCCCAGCTCAGTGCACTTCTCTGGCAGAGCCCAGGGCTCACACAGCCTCCATGGCCCCTGGCACCTCGGCTATTAGCTGCCGCAGCCTCGAGCTGTTCTGGTCCTCGGAGGATAGCACGCACGCATCAGGACTTCGAGGCGGATGCACCTCGGAGTTAATAAACAGAAAACTAGAGCCTTCCCCTTGGCCTCTGCAGGCACCTGCGAGGCCCAGGAACAGATTGCAGAAGGCTGCTCCCTCCGGGCACCAAAGCCTCAATTAGGGGCAAACACCAACCTGTTACTCAGCTCCTCTGTGCTCATGTGCAGCAAATGCAAAGGATGTGGGTCATGAAAAAACAGCAATTTGAGTGACTTCCATTTCTGTTTATACTCACATAGCTCACGCTTGGTGTCAAGGTGCTATTTGAAGCAGTTTACACGTATTAACTTATTTAATCCTCATACTATACAATCCCCTTTGGGGTGAGTACTGTCATAACCTCCACTTACAAGAATGGCAACTTGGACTAACTTGCCCAAGCTCACACAGCCGTGAGTGTGAACCAGGGCAGCCTGGTTCCAACGTGCTTCCACCCCTGGTGAATCTCAGCATGGTTACCCAGAATCCACACTCCCTCTTCCTGCAGAGGGGGTGGCTGTGCAGAAGGTCACCCCAAGGGACTGACTAATTCCAGGGGCGAACGGCGGGCTCCCTGAGCAGCTGACGCCCCTCCACTGGCCATCTGCTCGCGTCATGCATGTGGAACGGAGAGCTTCCTGTAAACCAGTCCCTCCCAGAGGCGCCCAGGTGGCCAACAGGGACGGGTGGCCACAGCCTTGCTGGTCACTTCAAAACTCTTGACGCTGGGGACATTGAGATAGTGTCTTTTCTCCATCTTCAGTCTTCACCATCACAAGGTCTGACCTGTACTGACCCTCACCATTTCTGTCTCGTTTTTGTTTTTAATTCCAATCATCATAATTTTTTTTTTTGGTGCAAGGTCTTGAAAGAGCGAATAGAAAGATATTCAGAGCACATATACATTTTTCTTCTCTGAGTGGTGTTTATTTAAATGCATGTATCCTGGCTTCCTGCATAGAGTGGCAAGCAATACCTTTCCATTGAAATGTTAATAGGCGTATAAACTTCAAAATCAAGTGTTGCACGTGGGAGAAGGGCTTTTTCTGCTTCCGTTCAATGGTTTTCCTTGTCGACCCTCCCTCATTATCAACCCCCCATCTTGCCCACCCCTTTCCACCACTCGGAACTGAATTCTTTTGCTAGAAAGTCTAGAATGCACCTTTCCTATTTCAAAAATTGGCATGTTAAACATTAGGGTCACGGACGACAGACAATGGACTCCCGCCCAACACGACTCACGAGGCTTTTCTCTATCCCAGCCTTAGCCTGCAGAGTTCGCCTCTTTATTCAGGAGCTTTTCCAAGGGGGAGAATTCCAAGGCTGACCCTGCAGAATATTTTTTCCAGGGCTTCAGATAGGTTTTAGGTTTTCTTTTCTTTTTTACCTTCTAAAAAGGCAGGAAGAGGCAGGAAAAGAAATGTAAGAGATGTAAGATCCCAGAGGCAAAGTACTGGTGTGGGTGCAGTGAGCCGCCAGGAGGAGAGATGGCGGTTCCTTCCTTCTGAAGAGATGACACGGCCACACAGGTGGCCCGGGGTGGGCAGCAGTGGGGCCGGCCACTCGCAGGACATCCCCTCCCAGAGGCACGGCAAGCAGCACCCCCCCGCACTCACCCACGTGCAAACAAAAAGCATTACAGATTGTAAGACAATGAAAATAGTATCTAATGCCTTTGAATTCAAATATGGCCCCTGTACTCGCCTATCTAAGAACCTCTTGGGCTCCACTTTGTGTGTGAGTGTATATCTGGCTTCACATTTCTTTTCTTTTTTTAAAAACGTTCTCTTTCCTTTGTTTTCTCATTAATTATGTTTATCTTGTTATACTGTGTGTGGTTTGCAAGCCCTCTTTAATCTTTTTTTTTTTTTTTTGTGGAGGGTGGAGGTGGGGAACAGGATAGGACTGTTAATCCATAAACTGGAAATGAGTTTGCCATATAAATTTCAGTGATTTTGATTCAGTTACTTTAAGGAGTGATTTTTGTTCTCTCAATAGTTCTCTTCAATGGTATCCTGTTCTTATTTCTTCTCTTGTTCTTCTGCTGTCTCTCTGGGAACATCAATAATATTTTTAAATTGTTGTTTCTTCTCTCTGCATCGTGTTTCCTCAAGTTCCTTTTCTCCCAGGTCATAGACTTTTCTCAGAAACCCAGTGATGCTGGGTGGTCTGCCTGGAAGCATGAGTGGGTGCTGGGTGGGCTTCACTGGACAGCAGCCCTGGGGATGGTGTGTCCTGGTCTGTCCTGCCTCTGGGCTGCAGGGCAAAGCCCAGGCAGCCAGCTTCCAGGTGCCCAGTGAGGAGGGCTGCGTCTCAAGAGAAAGCACTCAACATCCTGTATGGGCGTAGACACAGAACTGCCTAGTGGGTGGTGACCTTCAGCTGGGCTGGCCAGCCAGCCTTGAACTTGTGGGCCTTCCAGACCTGCGTGCTCACACTCCTCTCCTGGGCACGGGGAGTGGGGTCAGGGGGAGGATCTCAGGGTCCAGTTCCACCTCAAACAACCCCCGCCAAGTCCTTGTGCTATGTCCTTCCCCTCTGTGTGCCTGATCCAAAGGAACCTGCTGGGGCCAGTTCTGAGCCTTCTGGGGGTCAGCAGGTCTCAGCTTCCCGGCTGCAGCTTTGGGCCGGGCTCTGAATCCCCTAAATCAGCCACACTGTCCATCAGCTTTTGTGTTGCTGTCAACATCTTCTTCCCTGTTTTGTTTCCATCCTACCTTAAAGAAAAATCTCTTAGCTTGGGAGGAAGAGACGCTAGGTGGATTTGCTCACTCTGTCAGGATTACCCAGGAGGTCGTCAGTTACATTATGAATTTCATCTTCCCATACGGCTCCACCCGACTCCCTCTCCTTACGGTTCCTGGGTTTGAGACTGCCCATCATCTAACTCCGCTGGCTCTTTGCCTTTCTCATCTCTAAGACAGGACTGTGTCTCGTCACACCTGGCTCCAGGTGGTGGCTGCAGCTGCTCTGAGTGTTACCACCTGGGTTCTGGGTTAAAGTGAACAGCTCTGGCGAAATCAGGCTTGCAGGGTGAGGACAAGTCTCCTCCCAGGTCAGTGCCAATACTCAGGCCTGACCTCTGGTTTTCACTCTTCTTTCCAGATCAACAATTTAGCGCGACCCTGCGCTTTTGTTGGCACAGCCTTTCGGGGGACGGCGAAGGGCACTTATCTCAGCGAGGCCACAGCCCCTCCCTGTCCAGGGCCACAGACGATGATTATCCACAATGGAACTTTTGGAAGAGGAATCATCCTCCCCCCATTGCCCCTCCTGCCTTCTCCTCTTTTCCTTCTAAGTAACAACACCGCGCTGTCCTCCGATGACAAGAGCCTTCCCTCTTTTTCTGACTTGCGTTCCCTGTTTCCTGGCCAGCACATCCCCCGCAGCGTGCCTGGCCCGGGTGGGCACACCTTAGCGGACACACTATCCACTAGACAGTACCACGGGTCCGCAGAGCCCGGGGACCAGTCAGGTCTTCTAAGGAGCAAGGCCAAGTGCAGCGGGGAGGGGCTCTATGGCTTACACAGGGTTGTGTGTCTCTGGTGCTGATTTAGGGGCCAAGACTCCTCCTGGAAACCCTTCTTGCACTGAGAGGGAACCCGTGGTCACACGGGGGCCATAGGAGAGGAATTCCCCGACCTCCTTCCCAATGAAAACACCCAGCCTTTCCTTTCCTTTCTCATTCCCACCGTCCCGTTGCCCTTGACTACAGTGGGGGGTGGGCGAAGCATCTGTAGCAAAGACTGAGCCATCCTCAGGTGTTAGCGAGAGAGGCTCACTGAGGTGGGACAGCAGCTCTGCCCTCCTCTTGCCACTGAAAATCCCCACTTTCCAGACAGCCCTCTGCCTGCTGGCACCCACGCTGGGCTTTGTCTGGCACGGCCATTGAAGCCTGGAGTGGGGAAGGGCCTGACCCAGAAATCTGGGCTGGCCAGATGGGTGAAGAGCTGAGAGGGTCTGCTCCGGGCTCAGTCTGAGAGCAGGGAGTGAGGCTCTCCACCCTGCAGCCCCCTATGCAAGGGAAGGGAGCCCTGGGAGCTGCCTTGGAGGGAAAGGAGCTGGAGCTTCTGCCTACAGCCTCCTCCTAGAGAGACCAGCAAAGCCTGGGGGGCGGGGGGAAGGAGGGAACTCTGGCAGGTGGGGCCCGACTGCCCAGCCCCCACCCAGCTGAGAGGTGAATGGGGCCGAGATTGGGCAGGATGCCCTGACCTGCCACTCACTAGGGGTATGGGCGTGAAGCAAGTTACTCCATCTTCAAACAGGGAAAGAACAGTACCTGGCTCAGAGGTCGTTACTGACGCTGGAAGGCCGGCGCTGTGCCCGGCACAGAGGAAGCATACGAGCAGTGACCACTACTGTGGTGGTCTCTCCCTGTATCATGTACCAAGTCGTCCCACCATGCTTTGTATGTGATGACTCTGGTCCACAAAGGAATCTCTGTGCCAGCCTGCCTGAAAGGGCTGGCTCCTTCCCGCCCACTGCAGTGCCCCACCTGCCCCCTCTGCCTGGAGGAGTGGTGTGCCCTGACCCCCAGTGCCAGCCTCTGATGCTAACCCTTGCCCTCCCGCTTCCCCACAGACCTGCGCAGGATGACGGCCGGCTTCATGGGCATGGCGGTGGCCATCATCCTCTTCGGCTGGATCATCGGCGTGCTGGGCTGCTGCTGGGACCGAGGCCTTATGCAGTACGTGGCAGGGCTGCTCTTCCTCATGGGAGGTAAGGCGCGGGCCCCGGGGCTCCTGCTGGGGTGGATTCTGGGAGAACGGCCGGGTGCAGGGCAGATGAAAGCCACAACTTGAGGGGGCTCTACCCATTCCCTCATCAAAGCCATTTTTGAATTCTTTTTAACCACTTGCCACTGCACTGGCTGCTGCAGATGCAGAGGCTGAGAAGTTGAGGGAGGCCTGGTCCTGACCCTCGGGGGTCTGACTGCCTGGCGTGGGAGAGACTGTGCGGCTATGACATTGACGGAGGTTAGACCCTGGCACTTTATACACGGACTAGATGTCATGGTTGGAAGCAGGTGCTGTCTGGTTGCTCTGTTACCGCCACAGCCATAGGACCAGTGCGGCCCTTACCAAGGCGTTGTTGGCGCAGGGGGCTGTACGGCTATACAGGGAGTCCCCCGTCTGTGGTAAATGAGTGTTAGTCAGCATTCCACATGTGCCTTTCTTCTCTGTGCAGGGCTAAAGTGTGCTTTTTGGGTCTTCTGGTGTGTTGGGTCTTGGGTCCAAGCAGAGCTAATCATGGGGTGTGCCCGTCCCAGTCTGCTCCTTGGAGAGGAGTATATTGGTGAGTGCGCAGGGCGGGGTATCGGGGAGTTGGAGGCAGACAGAGGGATGTTTCTCAGTCCTACTGACCACGCATGTCTGCCCAGCCCAGGTCGCTGCCAGGAGCTGCCTCGCTCTGGGGTTTCCGAGCAGACGGGGGGCTGAGGAGCAGGTCGGCTGGGGGAGGAGGTGGCTGTCCCTGCAGGTGTGCGCAAGGCCAGCTGGCGAGCACGGGTGTGGCAGAGGAGAATGGTGATGGTCCGGGGGCTGCCCCACTAGGCCTCACACCAGCTGGCAGGGGTGGGTGCTGGGAGGGCCCTGGGGGCTCTCTGGAAGCTGGCAGAAAACCAGCCCGCTGACCTTGGCTGCGCCTCGGTGTCCACCCCAGTGCAGCAGGGGGTAAACCCCACGTCCAAACGTGCCTGTAGTAGCAGCTGGGTCCTTCTGGCTTCCACGTGCAGTAGATATCTTGCGTGGCCCTGGAAATGTAATGAGAAGTGTGGGGGGCTCTGTTTGTAAGGAGCGGTCTCGCTAAGACTCTGGGTTTTACAAGGACAGGCTCCAGGAACACAGGGCTTTTCTAAGGCTCTGGCCACGTCTCCCAGGAACCTGAGAAAAGCTGAGCAAACAGGCTTTGTGCTGAGCAGGAATCCAGGACGGGAGCTCTTGGAGCTGACACGCCTTCATCCCCTGCCCCTCCCAGCTCCCTACAGGTACACCCTGCACCCCCCTGTCTCCAGGCCAGGCACGGGGCTCCCACCTGCCCAGGTGCTGAGACTCCAGGACCTGCGGACTCTGGCCGCTTCCTCCTGGGCTGCTGAAGTCAGAGACAGAATCCTAGTGTGCTTACCCGCCACTGAGGAAGACAGCGGTTCTTGCTCCGCACCTGCCCAGCAGAGGGAGCTACACTGTGAGGCTAGGGATCAACTCAGAAATGATGCCTAGGCCGGTTGTATCAGGAGACACTCAGTCCCACCCCTCCCAGAACCTGAGCAGTCCCTGCCCTCCAAGAGTGAAACTTCTAGGTTGACCTGTTGAAGAACTCGGAGAGTTGGCTACTGTGACAGCCACCTCATGGACGCGGCGGTAAAGCAACCCGTCTCTCAAACTAGAGACCTGGATGGCGAAGTGGGACAAAACGGGCCACAGCCTCCGCCTGCTCCCAGAGTGCATTTTGGGCATCTGCCACTGAGCACAGACAGGTGCCCAGAGGGTTAGATGGGTGACAGGTGGGACCAGCTGGTGGGGCCCAGCCACAGCAGCAGTGCATGGGAGCTGGGAGTGCTGGGTAGCAGGTGGAAGAGGAGGGGTCGGCGGGCATGGCAAAGATAAATCTGGAGTCCAGGGTCCGAGGACGGAACTGAAGCTGATTTTGGATGAAGCCACTAGGGCCCGGATGAAGATGGGGGAACTCTAGTCACAGCCTGTCCAGATACGAAGGAAGAGGGGCCCACACTGGGCACTTCTCTGCTCCAGATTTAACTATTTCCCTGGGCCACAGAGAGGGCCCCTCCCGCACCTTGTGAAATAACTAGCAACAAATTGTTTAATTAACACTCAACCCAGAGGAGGCAATTAAGTAGGGCAGCCTTGTCGAGCCAGGAGGCTGGGGGCGGCGGGTGGGATCCAGTTTTCCCTTTGGCAGGGCGTCCAGGGGAGGACGGAGCCCAGACTGGCACGGCACCACTCCGGTGCCAGCAACCGCCAGAGACGAGCGTCTGGATGAATCATCAGTGGTATTCAGAGGCGCAGGAATAGGATGACATGGGGGAAGACAGCCTGCGAGGGAGCGTGGGAAGGCTGCGATCACTCGTGATGCCCTCGCTGGCTGAGCTTCAGGGCCGCCTCATGCACGCAGACCTACCAGGTGACTGTGAACATCCAGCCCGTGCCTCTGTCCCTCCCACACACACACTCTTGGAAGACTCTGCCATCTCCCCGCAGGACTGAGCCCCCTGGAGCTCATGCCGAGGCTGCCACCCAGCAATCAGCCCTTCACGGAGCCGTTAGCGTGAGTGTTTTCCAAAGCCCGCATTCCTTTCTCTTCTTCAGAAACTGACTCAGCCCACTTGGGCCACTGTAGCAAAATGTCACAGGCTGGGAGGCTTATAAAGGACATACATTTAGTGCTCACTGCCCTAGAGGCTGTCTGGTGAGAACCTGCTGCCTGGTCACAGGCAGCACCTTCTCCTGGTCCTCACTTGGCAGAAGGAGCGGGTCACAGGCAGCACCTTCTCCTGGTCCTCACTTGGCAGAAGGAACGGGTCACAGGCAGCACCTTCTCCTGGTCCTCACTTGGCAGAAGGAGCGAGGATGTTCTCTGGGGGCTTTTTCCTTGGGACCAATCCCGTTCCTCCCACAGGCCCCTCCCAATATCACCGTCTGGAGGGTTAGGACTCCAACACTGGACTTGTGGGGGCCCCGTATAGTCTGGCTCTGTGCGACCTCTCTCACCCCCTTTCCTGTCCTCTCCTACACTCACGTAGCTCTGACCGCAGCTGCCTTTGTGTCCCAGACAGTGTTGCTGCTTCAAGGCACCAGGCTGGCCGGTCCCTTTGCCTGCGGGCTTTTCCCACCCACGCCTTGCGGCCGGCTCCTTCTAGGACTCGGAGAGGGTCTCCTTGACCTCCACGAAGTCCGGCTCTACACCTCATTTAATGTTCGGCAGTGCACTCACTATTTTCCGAAATGTTTGTCATTGCGTTTTGGTTTTAGTTGATATATTTTTTAGCATCCTAAAACTAACATTTTCTCCAAGTTCCCTTGGGTCAGCATTCCACACACAGCTTAAGTGGGTTCTCTGCTCAGAGAACAATTATCAGGGAGTCGTCGGCTGGGGCCAGCATCTCATCCGGGGCTGGGGTCCTCTCTCTCCCAAAGTCGAGATGGCGTCATCAGAATCCGTTTCTGCCAGGCTGTGGGACTTGGGCAGTTTGGCTTTTCAAGGCCAGCAGGAGAGAGACTCTCTGACATCTTTAATCTCCGACCTTCAGATCGTTTTGTTTTTTTTTCAGACTTTGGTTTTTAGCCTAGTTGTAGGCTTTTAGAAAAACTGAGCAGTTAGTACAGAGTTCAAGTTTTACAGTCCGCCCCTGCACAGAGCTTCCCCTGTTGTTAACATCTTATATTAGTGGGGTACACGTGTTATAATTAATGAATAAATATCAGTATCTTATTAATAACGAAGAGCCATAGCTTACTCAGAGTCTTAGTTTTTAGCTGATGTTCTTCTTCTGTTCCAGGGTCCCATGCAGGGGGCCTGACCCATCACATTTTGTGGTCGCCGCCCCTCGCCCTCCTCTCGCTGTGACAGTTTCTCTGATCTTCTTTGTATTTGGTGGCCTCGTCCATTCTGAGGAGCGCCGGTCATCCGTTTGGCAGCAGGCTCCTCTGTCGGGGCCCGGGACACATTTTTCTCGGGTTTCTCAGGGGTGGCCATTGATGGTGACCTTGGTTGCCTGGCTGAAGCCGTGGGTGGTGTGTCAGGTGTCCCCTCTGTGTAGTCACTCGCTCTTCCCTCCCTGATCCCGTCCTGTCCTCTTGGGAGGGAAGCCACTGGGCTCAGCCCGCCCCTCGGGAGTGGGGCCTGCGGCTCCCTCTCCCTGCAGATGGAACAGCTGCACCAGTTACTTAGACTTCTACATGGGAAATTCGTCTCTTCTTTCCCATTTATTATTCAGTCATTTGCTTGTATCAGTGTGGGCTCGTGCCTATTTCTTTTATGCTTTGAGTTAAATCCAGTACAATATTTCTTTTGTCCTTCTGGCCCTGTGTCCCTTGGAGACTCTCCTGTCAATGTGGGTTTTGTTTTTGTTGGTTTTTGTGGTGCATTTTCGCTTTTTGAACACTTCGTTTTTGGCACTAGGGGGCGCTGCAGCTCACCTTGTCTATTTCCTGCCCCGCATCCTAGAATCAGCCCTTTCTCCAAGGGGCCCTGGTTCCTTCTGTGGCAGGGTGGTATTAGAAACTGAGATCCAGGCACGGGTGTCTGCGGGGTTTTTAATGTGCGGTGTGTGTCCATCGAGTAACCACCCCAACACTGACGTGAAAACTGCACGAGCTCCAGGCCCGTCCGCCTCGTTCCCCGGGTGGCCCCTGAGCATGGCCCGGTGTCTGCAGGCTCCGGTGTCTGCCAAACCCATGCACTGCAAACGTGAATCATGTGCTAGAGAGAGGAAGTACTCTGTCTCCACAGAGTGACAATCCTTCGAGAAAGTACCCTCTTATCTCCTGTTCCTGGTCTTCTCTGCCCCTTCACGAGTTCCTTATTCTCTTTTCACCTTGGTTCGAACAGGCCTGGGGTCTGTGTGCTTCTGATACATCGCGTCCCAGATCCTCTCTGGAAGTAGAGATGTTAGAAAGGGAAGGGGCCCAGAGACCGCCCAGCGTGGCCCTCCTTGTGCTCCCAGGTAGCCGTTGTCCTGTCGGTCGTCCCAGGTCGCCCAG